CTGATAACCTTTTTGCCCTCAAGCGGAGGTTAAACATGGATGTTGTTACTGTCTTTCGCAAGCATTTGACTGCCGGTTGCTAGTAGAATCTATACATGCCTTGCTGTATGAGGCTCCAATGCCACAGTGACCACTTTCAAACGTTAACTTCTGTTGAAGAAGGTTATGCCTCCTTTACATACTTATAAGTTCTCTGGCATTCTATTACGGTCAGTATGTTGCACTGTAAGCGGTATTGCCATCTGGCAGTGGCCACTGCAGTTTTTGCCTGCGTTACTTTGGTTACAGGTGGCAGCTCTCTATAGCGTCCGAAGTGTGACGTCCACGTTGGCAAGACACGTACGGGCTGGTTCTACACAAGCCCTGCTCCATAACCTTTACTGCGTGAAACTGTTTGTGCGTACGTCAAAACCGAGTGTGTGCGCTGGCAGCCCGCGTAAAGCCTCGTACCTCGATCCTACAATATTTCATGAATTTACCAAAAGTTAACTTATTTACAAAAACAAAATTTGTTAATTTTTTTTTTTTTCTGTTGCTTTGTCACTTCCTCCTTCGGACATCTCTTAAAAACTGCCAATACTGACTCTGCAGAATGCTGGTTACAACGGGTACTAAAACCCGACACGCCGTTACTTTACCAGAGCCTCTGATTGTGTAGAACCAGTGGCTCGTTGTCTATGCCACCGTGACGTCATCACTTCGGTATCTTTGGCAGCGCTGTAGGCTTGCGTAGTAACATAGATGAGTGCTTACCTATTGCTGTCTTGGCAATAGTTGTTGCTACTACGGTCCGCTGGAGCCTTCCCATCTTTAATCTGCAGACACTTAAACGGGTACGCGCCATCTCGTTGGCAACTTTCAACCGATCAAACGCACTCTTTGAAAGGTTCCTGAGGTACCACCGCTGTGCATTCCACTGTTTTTCGGCGTGGTATGTGAACACCTTTGGGACTAAGCAGGGTTTACTAGCATCCCACACTCCCCTCACCGAGTCCCCCCAGTGGACGTTAGATCGAGGGCGGTGTCGCTCTGCGGCAAGCTGGTATTCCCTCCTAATAGTAGTATATATATGTATCTCAGGAGCGAATGTAAAAACAAACTTTGTTTGCTTCACATAGCGATATATCTGTAGCGTTGAAGTTACACCAAGATTTGAAATGAAATAATTTAGAGTATAACTAATCACAAGAAGCGAGTAGCTATACTTTTGTGTTCACTAAAAGAATTAATTGTTTACCATCATACGGTCTCTACGTAGCGGCTAACACACCAGACTGCGCAGAACGTACTGCCTGCGCGCCTTTCTTCAAATTTCTATTTTTTATGCAAGAACTCTCCAACCAATCCCAACAAAGTCCGAAACTCCTAACCACTTCCACACACTTCACCCTGCCTAAATAATCATACTCCAACTGCCTATAACTAGCGCTTTTACTGTTTCTAAGTTAACGAACTACCACCACCACAACCACCCGCCCAACGCGCCACGTACCCTACGTTTCGCACGATGTATGTACCGGTCTGCCCCACCGTGCTAGACTAATATTCCTACACTAACACGCGTCTACATCGCCCGCGCACCTACTATTTGTAACCTACTACATGATATGCTAATACTGCGCCCAACCCCCCCGAGTTAATGACCATAAGAGGGCACCAATCGCGATCTCAGGACACTAAGGGCATTTCTGTAGGCTAGAAGCGTTTCCTAAACGATAGAGTTTGGCAGCAAATAGTACGAAATAACGACCTGTTATGCGCACTGCGCTAGCTCCTTTTCTGTTGCATTTTCGGCATCTCGTAATCAGAATAGCCCCGCCTTCTCGTTGATGGGCATAAATGGCGGCGTCCACCTGCACGTGACCAGTTTCCTGTATCCTACTGTGCTTTCGGCGCAGCCTGTTTACTTTTCGTAAAATAATGGAAATGCCCCGGGCCGATGCATTTTCGGCAACGAAGAGGAGCAATTTTCTGCATTTTCACAGTCGCTGTCGGAAGTGCAGTACGAGTGCGTCATTCATTGAACTATTTCCCTTTTCAGCCACAGCAGCACACTGGCCGACAGAGGTTGGAATGTTCGGACGGCCAATGTTTCACATGCCACAGACGCCATCTCTTTGATGTTTTACTAAGTAAATATGGGACTTTTTTATAAATAATGCGTTTTTTATTGTATACGACGATTTACGTTATAAACTATATGTCATTTTACTGATTGGCGATCGAATGAACGACGGTCATCGGGAGGAGGAGGAGGAGGAGGAGGAGGAGGAGGAGGGGAGGAAGAGAGGGGAGAAGGTGATGGAGTAGGGGAGGAGGAGGGACGAAGGTGGCTGGAGTCGGGGGCATGGAGGAGGAGCGGAGAGGTTGGAGATCGATTGAAGGTCTGGGGAGGAGTAGGGGCAGGAGAAGAGGATCGAGGGGAGAAGGTGATGATCGTGGGAGGAGGCGGATGAGGAAGCGGACGAGGAGGCGGCGGAGAAGGTAATGGAGATCGATATGACGACGGCATGGAGGAGTAGGGGCAGGCGAGGAGGAGGAGGAGGAGGGGAGGAGGTTGATGGAGTAGGGGGAGGAGAAGGGAGAAGGTGTTGAGGAAGGTAGGAGGTAGGCTCCCCTTCTCCCTCCTTGCTCATCTTATCACTGTCTCCCGCCTCCTCCTCCTCCCTCTTGCCTCCTGCCCTACTCCTCCTCCATCACCTTCCCCCTCCTCCTCCTCCTCCTCCTCTCCTCTTCTTTCCTTCTATTCCTGCTCTCTCACCTACTCCACACCTTCTCCCCTCCCTCCTCCTACTCTCGTCCTCCCTCCTTCTCCTCCTCCTCCTCTCCCTACTCCCAACACCACTCTCCCCTCTCTCCTCCTCATCCTGCTCCTCCTCCCCCTTACTCCAACCCTTCTCCTCCCTCCCTCCCCTACGCCCCTCCCTCCACTCGCTCTCCTCCTCCTCCTCCTCCTCCTGCCTTCTGCCTTCTCCTCCTCCTCCCCTCCCCCTACTCCAACCCATCTCCCCCCTCTCTTCTCATCCTCTCTGCTCCACCTACTTTCCACCACCCTTCTTAGCCGCTCCTCCTCCTCCTCCGCTTCCTCTCCTCCGTTCCGATCACTTCTCCCTGCCTCCTCTCTTCTCCTCCTCCCCCTCCTCCTCTCCTCCTCTCTCCTCCTCTTCTCCTCTTCGAGAATATCTTTGGAATGTTTTTATTTGTTGTGTAGTTTTATTTTTCCTGTTTTGTTTTTATTGTTTGTTTTTCATTTTTTTGTTTTCTTCGTTTGGTTTTATGTAGTGGTTTTTTTTGTTGTACTTAGAGTTTTTATTGTTTCGTTTTATAATTATTCTATTTTATTTGGTTTTTTTGTTCTTATATTCCTATTTTTTTTTTTCTTTTTTGACCCTTTTTATGTAGTCAGTCGTTTATTGGTTTATCATCTTTCATTGTTAAGAGATTTATCTATTCTTTAATTTTGTATTTCCCTCCTCCTCCTTCCCTCCTCCCATCCTTCTCTCGCTCTTCTCCTCCTTCTGTTTCTGTCTGGCCCCCCTCTTCCTCCTCCCCTGACTTCCTCTTTGAAATCCCTTCCCCATCACGTCTTCTCGCTTCCTCTCCTCCCCCATGCCCGCTCCTCCTCCTCCCCTGCCTCCTCCCCCTACTCTATCACCTCTCCTCCTCTTCTCCTCCCCTCGCTGCCCTACTCCTCTTTCATGACCGTCTTCACTTCGCTCTCCCCTTACCTCCGCTCTCTCCTCCCCTCCTCCTCGACCCTCTCCGCTACTCCATCATCTTCTCCCTCCTCCTCTCCTGTCCCCTACCCCCCCCCCCTCCTCTCCAGGGCCGTCTTCTTCGATCTCGCCTCCCTTCTCCGCCTCCCTCTCCTCCTGCCTGCCTCCCCTACTCATCACATTCTCCCCCTTCTCCTTTTACTCCTCCGCTGCCCCCTACTCCTCCATGACCGTCTTCATTCGACTCCATCACGCTGTCTCCGGCTCCTCCTCCTCCCCTCCTCCTCCCCTCCTCCTCCTCCTCTCCTCCTCCTCTCCTCCTCCTCCTCCTCCTCCTCCTCCTCCACCTACTCCATCCCCTTCTCCCTCTCCTCCTCTCTCCTCCTGCATTCTGCCCCCCTACTCGTACTCGCCCCATATATCTGTAAGTACTAGTACCTTACGAACACGACCCCGTCACCGTACAGTAGTGTGTACGTGCGTGCGTACGTGCGGGCGTGGTGTATTGTGTGGTGTCGTGTGTGTGTGTGTGTGTGTGTGTGTGTGTGTGTGTGTTGTGTGTGTGTGTGTGTGTGTGTGTGGTTGCATGTGGTGTGCGTGGTGTGTGTGTTGTGTGTGTGTGTGGTGTGCGGCGTGTGTGTGTGTGTGTGTGTGTGTGTGTGTGTGTGTGTGTGTGTGTGTGTGTGTGTGTGTGTGTGTGTGTGTGTGTGCGTGCTGTGTGTGTGTGTGTGTGTTTGTGTGGTGTGTGTGCGTGTGCGTGTGCGTGTGCGTGTGCGTGTGTGTGCGTGCGCGTGCGTGTATGAGCGCGCGCGCGTGTGTGTGTATGAGCGCGCGTGTGTGTGGTTGCGTGTACTTGCGTTTGTACGCGTGTATTACAGGAAATATCCGCGCTGATTCATAACTCAACATAAAAGGAATCCCTGCGCCATCTTTTGGTAAAATTGTTAAGTTAGCAGCCTAGAATGACTACAAAATGTCTATAGTTTGTAACAAAAATTCGCATGAATATTTAATTGCTGGATTGTTGTTAGTAGCGTGTAAATGTGCAGTGTGTTTTTATAATTATCTATGTAAAAACTAGGAAAATCTGTTATTATTTTATCAATATATTAAAATAAACACAATTATTTTCTTACATGCCCCGTTATTCAATATATCCTCATCTCATTTTCTTCCATGTCATCCTCTTCCACTCCTCATCCTACTCCTCATTCTCCTCTCTCCCGTCTTTTCTTTATTTATTGCTATTTCCTCCGGCTTCCGTCGCCCCCGAGCAATGGCCACATGACCATCTCTGCGCGTACATGTCACTGGTACATGTACTTTGCTGCTTTCCGAGCTGGCCAATCAGCGGCCGACTGTGAGATCAACATCATGGCGGAGGAGAGTGGGGCCGGTTCTGCTTCTGGCGAAACTGCAACGGGATTTCGTTCACTATTGAGTTTCAGTAACATCTCCAATATGTTTCTTATTTTATGGTGCTTAGCGTCGACGGTCATTATTATTTTGTACGTGGTGCTTCCGCGCGTACTACGCCGAAAGCAAGATGATCCGGTTGACGCCCAAAAATCGGCCGCAAAAGAAACGAATGCCGATCAAGAGAAGAATGACTGTAGCAAGTGGATCAATGAAGTCGCGTCTTGGCTATACCATAATTATAAGCGAAACCCTGACTTAGCTGCAAATTGGCTAAAAAGCCTGAATGGATGTGCAAAACAGGAACCGTCGGTAAGTGTTTAGTTTAGTCCAATAGTTTATGCAGCCAACCATACATTGATACAAAACGTTAGCCCGACCAGGCTCTCCGATTGTTACACGTCGTAGGGTTAAGCGAGAATTCCTTCTCACTTGTGGCTAACCAAACGTCAGTCGTCTTTGTTTTTGCTCCGGGCCCGGGGCAATCATTGGTTTACGAGGTCACTCCGTCCTTGTTATTATCATGAAATGTGAATGGGTTGCACAGAAGTAGATTAAAAACTAGCTCAAGAAAAAAAAGTTCCCCAACGACAGATATCTATGTTGTGACCTTGTAGTTTTACTGCGATCTGTAGGCCTATCAGTATCATGTCGCATGTGTCGCATGTATACAAGTAGTTGCATCGTGTTGTAGAATCGGCGTATTTGTGAGAATTAGATGCACTGGCCGTGTGCTAAAGTACACTACTCACTAGTGCATATTAAATTATTTTAGTTTAAGTACCGAAATTGGATAAATGTTTGTCGGGCATAACTTTGAGGAGTCAGTCTGTACTTGCTGTCAAATAGCGGGTAAAAGGTGCACGAGGAATCCTACACAATGTACAGGTTTAAAAAATACAGATGGGATTTGGCATATGTGCATGATAAAAATTTGAGAAAGCTTGGCGCTTAAGCCGAGCGCACACGTGGCGATTTTTATCGCTAGTACTGGCGATTTTACTCGTCCCGTGTGCGGGACCCGGCGACAATGCAATGTCACTCGTAATGTCAAAAAGACACGGGCATTCCTGCCACATTTCAACAAGCTCATCCTCATGCTTTTTCCCCACACGAAGGGCGCTGCCATATTTGATCACGTGCTTCAAATCATGCATTTGATCAGTTAATCCAAAAACCATTGCCTGAATCCGTCGCCATTGCAGCGCACACGTGGCGATTGTTCAGCGACTCGGCAACAAATATCAAACGTTTGATATTCCAGCGACGAGTTTCTGGCGTCAAAATCGCCATCGCCATGCAGCGCACACGTGGCGATCTCTCGGCGATTCTGTCGCCGGCAACAAAATTGCCAGTACTAGCGATAAAAATCGCCACGTGTGCGCCCAGCTTTAGGTATGCTAGTTATATATGAAGTGTTCTGGTTCAAGCATTGCAGATGCCCTTACCAAGCCGTGTGCAGCATGTACAGTGTGAACAGTTTGGTATCACACTGAGCACTTGCTAGATAAAAGAAGATTGTCAGACAATATCAGATGTGCCTAATTTAGAAATATTTGAACATAGTCTGAGCTGATATCTCCATATAGTGTTTTAAGTCAGAGTAATCTATAAGAAGATGTGACCACGATGACAATGACAATGTGACGATGACCACGATGACAATGTGTTGCAGGCATTCTCTCTCATATATTATATGGTCCAATAATTGGTTACGTAGCAGTGAACTCAGTAAAATTCTGTTAACAGCTATCGGAGGCATTGTGAAATTAACCTGAAATGTTTCAAACTGGCACTGCTTACAAAATGAGTACATTTCAGATTCTGTTGATGAGAATTGTTGACTGTGTATACGTTATCACCACTGTATCTTTAAGAATCTGTTATTTGCTGTTACTTAATACTTTGTAATCAAACGTGAGAGCTAGTTATTTAAGCACAGCAAAGAATAAATGCTAGCACTGCACACACCGATTGCTAAGGCAAGCTAAACGCCATTTTCAGTCTAGTCGACTGTTATTCTAGCTGGTTGTTCTCATTCCAGTCGGAATAGGCGTTGACTGTGAGTAAGCTACGGAGTGTTTTTTAAACTGTTAGTCAGGCAACATGGGGGGTCGGGTGCACTCACACACCCCACATGTATGCCAACATTTCTCTCATGGAAAGATTCTAAATAAATACGATTCTGACGTTGTTTTCCAGGATGGGGTACAGGTTCAATTTGACAGGCTGCAGAAAGTGGCCACCCCACCCAAGTTCTCTGATGTACATCTGAAAACAGAGAATGGCAACCTGGTAAGCGTAATTCATGCTGACAGTACCGTAACCTAGCGGTGATGGATGGGCGAGTGAATTGCACGGAACATTTTATGATTTATTCAATTCAAGTTCCATCTATGATGATCCCTGTTAATTTTGATCAGAACTGATGCATATATTCTCCCAGTTTTTTTTTTTTTTTGGCTGTAAAATACCTGTTCAAAGCTTTGCCATAAAATGTACAGCTTAGAATATTATTGTTTTATATTAAAATAAATTCCATACATTGATGGTGTAAGTGGGTAATGTGCAATGTGCACAGCACACCAACATTCTATTCTGCTAAAATTCTATGAAGCTGCTAACATTCCCAGCATGTTTAGTAAATTGTAAGAAAGCCAGTTTAAGCTAAACAGCTGTGGATAACTCTCACTTTGTGGCTTGTTTATTATATATCCAAACAGTTGGGGTTTAACTATATAGTATGTGATTATAATCAGGTAATAGACTGTATGTTTTCTTATGTGTCTGGTAACTGTCTGGTGGTATTATATTAGCCTTTAAGTTTAAGTGTATATAATACAAATGCATGTGTGGAATAAGTCCACCACGTACATTCGTGTGTTGTGTGCTCGTATTTGCACGTGGAAAATGATGCAGGAAGTTGATCTCTGCTTTGAGCTCTGCTCATTACCATAGGAGTTCGTGCAATATTCTACACAAGTTTACATTATAATCGCACAAAAGCGTGTGTATCATAGTGGCTTCGTGTCAAATTCGTAATTGGGAAATATATACCCAATTCGGAGATGATCGATTGATCAATTAATAGCTATCAATGAAATGGCCTTGTTGTGTTGTGTTGTTAATTTGATTGATGAATTATTTAGCTGATCGGTAATCAGTCTGAGGGGATTAGATAAAAAGTTAACATTTTATAAAAAGAGTTCATTGATGGATTGTGCTATCTGAAATTGAAAAAAACTTAAGAGATAACTGTAACGCACGTTGTTGTTGTCATCTACTGTACATCACTGCAGAATATGATTTTATTTAATATTATCGTGTGTGGTTTTTTTCCGGTATGTATATATATAGCAGAATGTTCATGGAATCACAGACTTCTGCTGATCAATGTTTAATCAGGAATTTTGACAGTTAAACTGGCAGTGTATAACTCTGGACTCGCATTCCTTTCGACCTCCCTATTTAATTAACAGCCAATCTATCACGCGATAATCAACTTATTATTTAATTGGTTAATGAACTGTTCCGTTTTGTTGCCCGTAAATTTAATCACTTGACAGGCTACGTACATCGTATCGTAGACTTAAGAGCAAGATAATGACGGATTACCGTTATCTCGTTATCTTTCCCCCCCTGCTAGAATGATTCAGCAGTTGTAAACAAGTTACAAATTCACTGCGCATACTGACTATCCCTTGTTGTTAGAGCTAGATGCTATAGCTCAAGGGGTCGTTGTCGTAACAGGTACTACAGATATGTACCCGAGGTACATATATGTATACACAAAGTGTACCAGACTTGTACTACAGAAGTGTACCCTAACCCTAACACTAACCCAAACCCTAACCCTAACCCTAACTCTAACCTTAACCCTAACCCTAAACATACCTCATATAAAAATATAAACATAATACTAAACAACCTAAAACTACCTCGGGTACATATCTGTAGTACCTGTTACGACAACGACCCTTCGTGCGATGCTATACGTACGTACGTGGGTAGATGGTTGCGTGGTAGTGTGGATTATGGGCGGTGGAAGTCCGACAGTAGTGCGTGATCACCACCAATATACATGTAGCAAAGCTGCCGCCTCATGATTAATCTGTAAACCTGCTTTAACTGCAAATCAAAAATCAAAGTCCAACCCGTCTAGGCTTTGTGGCACTCACTTAGATTTTTACTCGATGGATAATAAATGTTCAGCCTTGAGAATTAATGTCAGTGATATCGCAGTTTATTTATGCTATGCACGCTAATATTAACTGCTCAATGTTATTGAGAAATCAATAACACCCTCAGTTTTAAGAATTGCCATTGAGCGTTTCACCGTTTGTGTGAGTTGTATCAACTTGTATGCGTTAGGCATGACTGCTTTTGCTGCCCCTGGGAGTGTGCGCTTGTCCTTGAAAGCTTAGCACTTGATCAACACATTGAGCCGGTTACTAAATTGTTTGGTATATATGATCAAGCGCTAATAATACATCTGATTACCATCTCTAATTTATATCTCTGATTACCATTCAACCGTAAACCTTCATAGATAAATATAGAATAGATAGTTTGACCATATTATCTGAAAACAACAGCCACAAATTATTATATGCCACTTCAATGACACGTTTTTTACGTAATATGTTATATTTTGTAAAATATATATATATATATATATATATAATACAGATAATACTAGTATATGAATACATTTTTTTAATGAATTAACATTATTAATATATCTAAGTTATCTATCATTTATTAAATTATTGTGTTAAATTATTACATTGTCTTTATTGTGGTTCTAGAGGGCATTAGAAGATTGTGGGTTTGGTTGCAGTGGCTTTACATGGGCTTCATCTCTAAACCTACTGTACTCTATCGTGTGTGTTGTGTTCCTATAGATAACGGAATGCACAGTCGATGCTCAGAACATTGCGTTTGTCGTCTTTGCGAAAGAAGAGACGGAAAGTGGATTGAAAACCTCCAACTTCGATGTCAGAGTGCAGAAATTGCAGGGAAAGGTAGGTGTGTCTTATGTTATCTCCCCATGTAGCAAGCGCATTGACTGTATCACAAATATTTCTATCTAACATTCCTCGGGGTGGGGGGGGGATTGGCTGTTTGATCGGTGGTGTTTATATGTGTGGATTTGTGCAAATATAGTATGTCAACCTGCCACCGCATTCCGTTTTTGAAATGAGGTCATTATTTATTGCCCCATTCAGACAAATGAGTCATCCCAGGTATATTATCCCAGGTGTATCATCCCAGGTATACAGGGCTCGAAATTCAGAGGTAATCCGCTAATCCGTAGGGTAAATTATCCTACGGATTAGTTACGGATTACATGAGGAACCCTGAAGGAAATCCGTACGGATTGCTTAAAAATAACTTGCCGTTACAGTGCTCCTTCCACCTCTGCAATTATCTTTGTCTTAAAACGTCAAATCTCAAAACAAAATCTCATTCCAGGTATATTATAAAAAGGTAAGCCTGATCAAGCTCCTTACGAGATCTCTACGTAACCTATTACATGAATATCAGGGGTAAATGATCTCGAGTATTTTACAGATTTTAAAATTTAAGAATTTTAGAATTTTATATCTCAAATTTGAGATTAAGTAGCCCCGATTTATGTATATAAATAAACAAATATATATATATATATATATATGTGTGTGTAATGTGCGTGCATGTGTGCATGTGTGCGTGTGTGTGTGTGCGTGTGTGCGTGTGCATGCGAGCACACACGTACACAAGTCATTGTTGTGTAATTTCATCGTGCAGGCATCCAGGTACTTTTTTGTCACCAGGTATTTGTCACCAGGTATATTTGTCACCGTGTTTCAGGCCCAGTTCCAGGTATTTGTCACGTGTTTCAGGCCCAGTTTCATGTGACACAGCAGCAGGGTGACTTGCATCTAACCGCCTGTTTTCTCAAGTCGCCAGATGTTACTCTGTCGTCGAACGTACAGACAAAGCAGGTAATAATATAGCATAATATACTAGCTCTCCGGTCTCGGCAAATAATTCATATTGCTTCCTGCGCTGTTCCCATGCACGTGCTCGGGTTACTGCTGCTACAGCGTGCGTCATGTCAGACTAATTGCGAGTGCTTGGTAATATTGCGTGGCACGGCAGCTTTTTTTGGCGTCGAGTTTCCCCCGTGTTTTCATCGTCGTCCAAGTGATGAGGCTAACGGTAACTAAGTCTAAAGCTGACGGTATGTATCCGCGAACTATCCCTAGTATTGATGTTCACTGCGGCGTATTAGGAGTGATAGACCAGTGAGTAGCAGTGGCCTGTTGGTGTATACATGCACGCATGCACGCCCGATGTTGGAGCCTTTGTTTGCTGATTCCATTGTTGGGAGGCAGGCAGCCCAGCCGTTCGATCATGCTAATATCTCTAGGGAGTTGCCTGGGTATATCGCGCGCACGCCCAGTACGAATAGCAGGGCGTAGGCATTCGCTCATGCGTGCGTGTAGTTTACCAGTTGGTGAACCGAGAGGGATAGCGCGCCTCATAGAGAGGGATAGCGCGCCTCATAGAGAGAGAGCGATGGCGGGCCTCATGGGCACGAAGAATTGTTTTCTTCGAATGAAAGAAGTCGCTTTTATAACGCTGGGGGGTAAAAGGACAGCCATTTTTCGTTTTGCTGTAGCCAATTTATTGATTGGTACAGCGGGAAAAGTGGATCAGCGATGAGTAAAGGATGAAGGGCTGAGGCCGGCGAGTGAGAAACCTTTGTAGAGCCACATGTATGTTCTGTGATGTTTAAAACATGCTCGAAAGTGTTCAGTTTTCCGGATGTAGCAAAGGCGAAATTTATTTTCCCGTGGGTGGAAAAGTAATCAGTTATATAGTGTATACTGCTAACCTTTCAGATACAAAATTCTCTCTGACATAAAAGTTAGTTGAATTCCACCTTGCGTATTTACTTCTTAACTTGCCCCTCCCCACCACCACTACTAACGCCACCTCCCCCACCCCCTCGACCACCACTACCTCTTCTTACCGCCACGTCTTCCACCTCCTCCACTTACCCCCTCCCCTGCCCACCACCCCCTCCACCACCCCGCTCCCCCTGCCCCACCCCCTCCCCCTGCCACCACCCCCTCCACCACCCCCTCCCCTCTCCCTACCACCACACCTCCCTCGCCACACCCCTCCACTACCTCCTCCCTCCCCCTACCACGCTGAACCTGCAGTCACTACCATTCGTTTCTTTTGTTTCACCCTCTAGCCATCCGAACGACCAGGTCGCCCCACTCGCTCCACTACCCCCGTCCCCCTGCACCACCCCCTCCACCACCCCTCCCCCCTGCCACACCCCTCCCCGCTGGGGCACCACCCCCTCACCACCCCCTCCCCTCCCCTACCACCTGACCTCCCCCTGCCCACCCCTCCACTTACCTTCCTCCCCTCCGCCACCACGGAACCTCAGTCACTACATCGTTCTTTGTTTCTACACCTCTAGCATGCGCACCATCGACCCGCACCTCCTCCACTACCCCTCCCTCTGCCACCACCACCCTCACCACCCCTCCCCCTGCCACCACCATCCCTCCAGCCACCCCTCCCCTCCCCTACCACCACACCTCCTCTCGCCGACCACCCCTCCACCACCCTCTCCCTGCTCCCCCCGCCTACACGTCCCCCACCCCCTCCCCTGCCACCGACCGCTGCCACCACCCCTCTCTCCTGCTCCACACCCCGTCTCACCCTAGCCACCTGCCCCTCCCTCCCTGCCACCACCCCCCCCTGCCACCACCAGCCCTCCACCCCGCCATCCTGCCAACTCACCTCCTCCGCCCTGGCACCACCCCCTCCACTACCTCGTTCCCCCTCCCGCTACCACCGAACCTCAGTCACTACAATCGTTCTTGTTTTAACACCTCTAGCATCGCGAACGACAGAGGTCGACCCCACCTCTTCCACCCACCCCTCCCCCTGCCACCCCCCCTCCACTACCTCCTCCCCTCCCCTACCACCCACCCCTACCCTGCCACCACCCCTCCGCTACACTCGACCCGCTCCCTCCTCACCACCCCTCTCACTTACCTCCTTTTCCCTCCCCTACCACCACCACCTCACATCACTACTCGTTCTTTGGTTCTTACACCTCTAGCATCCGAACGACCGCGCAGGTCGACCCCACCTCTTCCACACCCCCCTCCCCTGCAGCCACCCCCTCCACTACCTCCCTCCTCCCCTCCTACCACACCCCTACCCCTGCACCCACCTCCCCTACCACCCACCCCGCCCCCTGGCACCAGACCCCTCCACTACCCCCCCCCTACCCCTACCAACCACCTCCTCATACACACCTCGTTCTTGTTCTACTACACCTCTAGCATCCGAACGACCAGTCGACCGATCCAAGATGGAGGCGTTGGTGGCGCGGCTGTATAGGCAGCCCCGATCAGCGCACCAAGCTGTCGAGCAGCGAACTAAGCAGTCGCCCGCACCGGAGCCGTTGTCGAAGCCATCATCACGCTGACCCAAGTCCGCCAGAGTGTCGGTAAGGCCATTACCGCGGCAACTAGTGATGTCCGATCAGTCGATTATAACTCGATCATCGGTTGAACAGTGGCTCCGAACCAAGCGCTTGGTTATCAAAATCCATAATCGGATTTCATCGGGAAAAAAACTTCTTTTTTTTTTAAACTTGAACAAGAAAACTTGGAAAAGTGATGAGAATCAGAGATATCATCGCCTACTTATACAAGTTTCCTTTATTAACATACATGTATTATACACCACAGTAGTAAACAGTGCAAAACAAACAGTAAACAGGGCTAAACAAGCCACATACATGCACACACGTACACTGCACATGACGTTACGCACACGCAGGCATTCAACACCCCGAGTAACGATTGTAACCGATCATCGCGTTACTTGGGTCAAACCGATGATCGATTACAAAATTACAACCGATTGACAACACTAGCGGCAACGCACGCTCGCTCGCGAGACTGTCACAGCTCCAAGGACGAGCGATGTAATATCATAATATCGTAGTGGTGACAAAGTCCGCCAGAGTCTCGGTAAGCACCGCGCCAATCTTCCAAGCTCCGCACGATGCGGTGTTGCCACGGGCGACGCGTCTGTCACACGCGCGACTGTAGCAGCTTCCAAGCTAAGCTAATACGTAATCTTGTAATAATCATAATATTGTCTTAATGATGGTGACTCTTCTCGGAGTCTAACGGGTTCGGTAACAAAGATGGGGTTCGATGTCGATCGCATCGCTAGATCAACACTGCGAATGGGAGCAGAGAAGGTTTTAATATTACGATTATTTCAGTGTCGTAACTCACAAATTATGAATCGACGTCGTAATCATCGGAGTCTGTAACGTGTGGTATAACGTAGAGTCGTAGACGCGCTCTCTCACGACTCATGTATCCGATTAGCCTGCTGTCACTAACCCTTACAGCCAACACAATTGTTGCACATCCAACCCGGGCCCCCCACTCAGTGTTA